GCTCATCATATCCTTCGAACTATTCCCTCACCATCACATCCTCTGAACCCTACCCCAGTACTCTCTGTGACCCAATAAACCTATTTGATTTATACTAACCTGTTGCGTCAGACCTCTTCCGTTACAGTTACAGTGATCACTGTGCTGAGAGCGCAAATACACAGTTTGTTTGCATATCAAACAGGTACATGCACACTTAATGTACGACTCCATTATGTCACTATAATTGTCTTTACATTGATTATAGAAATTTGAACAATTTCATATTTTGACAAACATATATAAGGTGTAAATGTATAGGCCTATGTAAATATTTTTAATATTCTGACATATATGTCTCATATATGAAATATACATATATGCTCATACGGAATAAAAACAAATGTACATATATGCACAGCCTTATATGAAACCTATTAGAAATTGGAACAATTCCATATATTAACATATACATTTATGAAATTTACAAGTAAAATTTTAGCAGTATTATTTGTGTCCCCTTCAAAAATCACTCAAGAAATTTTATGGGTTACACTTTATTTTGATAGTCCACTTTAGACATTCTATTAACTATAAATAACTTTGTAACTACATGTCAACTAATTCTCATTAATTTGCAACTACATGTCTACTAACTCTCAGAGTAGACTGTTAGGGTAGATTTAGGGTTAGTAGAATAAGTTGACAAAGAAAGTGTTAGAAGATATTAAGCAGACAGCCTACTAATACTCTACTAACTGCTAGTTGACATGTAGTTGCAAAGTTACTTACTGTTAATAGAATGTCTAAAGTGGACTATCGAAATAAAGTGTTGCCATTTTATGTTTATTGTCCCCCCGTACTGTTAGACGAAATTTACACCCCTGCATGCAACAATGCAAATAAAGTAGCCTAAGTTGTTTGTAGGCCTAAACATCTATATGGTAACACTATACAATAATATTTCATTAATGTTATTAACTAACATGAGCATACAATGAACAATACGTGTATTACCGTATTTATTCATCTTTGTTAATGTTAATTAATGAAAATACAGTCGTTCATGTTAATTCACAGTGCATTAACTAATGTTAACAGACAATTTTTTATTTTAATAATGCATTAGTAAATGTTGAAATTAACATTAATAAATGCTGAAAAAGTATTGTTCATTCTTAGTTTATGTTAACTACACTAGTTAACTGATGTTAACTAATGAACCTTATTGTGAAGTGTTAACATTTATATAAATGTATCTGTATTAGGGATGTGCATCTCCATAATTGATGCCGATGCGATACACATCTCGATGCATAGCCAACGATACGATAGACTGAAGATACATATGAAGCAGCTATCGATGCGAAGTGATACGATTCACCCTTGTTACGATGCAGTGCGATCCGATGCAATGGAAAAAATATGATTGCTTTTGTTTTTCAGACAGACAGCAAATCATAAATTAACTTATGTGTCTTCTGACTTCTAACGCCTCGAGGCCTGTTTCATAAAACAAGATTACCAAATAGGCCAGGCTTATTTCAGTTAGTCTGACTCATTGTCAAATGATTTGGTTCCATAAAGCAAATTTAACATAGATCAACCTCAGCCACTGTGGCAACGTATGTTGGAAAACTAACCTGGTCCAGGGCAGGCTAACTGTCAGGGTAAGCTGAGTTCCTCTAACAACAACCAACAACCAATAGGAATGCAATGATATTACCACTGACTCTCTCACATACTATTATAGCCATGCAGCCTTTCTCTCTGGTTTTATGACAGCTGTACCTTTTATAGTTAGCAGAACAGATAGCAGAACATTAAAACATTACAATCTAAAATTGCTCTTTAAAGCATTAAAATCCCTAAATTAAAAGTTAAAATCACTTAAAAGTACATTTTAACTGCTATGAGAAACACATTAAACTTTATGAGGTTTTTTAACATTAATATGAGTTCTCCTAGCCTGCCTACGGTCCCCCAGTGGTTAGAAATGGCGATAGGTGTAAACCGAGCCCTGGGTATCCTGTTTCGCCTTTGAGAAAATGAAAGCTCAGATGGCCCAATCTGGAATCTTGCCTTTATATCGTCATATGGGGAAAGGTTACCTCCCCTTTCTCTGCTTTGCCCGCCCAGAGAATTTGGCCTACCCATGAGAAAATGAGCTACTACCGTGCGAGGCGAGCGCAATATTTTTTTTTCCTCGAGAGACATCATGGCTTGCAAACAAGCGAAGCATGGCAGTTGCCCCGCCTCTCTCCTCCTCATTAGCATTTAAAGCTACAGACACAGAAATGGCACGTCCTAAGGAAAGCTCATTGTGGGACTGGCTCGTAGTGGCTGAAATTCTGCACCAAGGCTGCATTTCGAGAAAGACACTTCAGATACAGTACAAGGGACCACTTAGGCCTATATAAAAGCATCTAAAAAGCAGCATGTCATGGAACCTTTAACTCATCTGAGCTCAGTAATTAGGACTGTATTAGCTTACATTTTATTTACCCATTACAATAGTCCCTTTACAGTTACTGCTATCATAAAAATACACTTATATGTAGGTTTAAAATTCTACAAAAGACACATTTAATGTCCAACAACAAATATTTTAGCAAAATGCATATTCGACTCGAGAATTATTGCGCTCCGCCTGTTCAGTGCGCATGACCACAATGACCTTACAGTCTGGACTTGGCTGGTTGAGGTTCATAAGCCAAACTAGAGCTTTCACAATGGTATATTTCAGCTCTTTGTTACAGGGTTGAGCAAGTCATGCTGATATTACACAAACAATATCTGCCCAGACAACCACACTAAAATGAAACAAAAAGTCCTTTTACTCTTTTTATCTTGTTCATGTAAGGCAAAAGGGCACATTTCTCCTATTTTTGTAAAGCATAACCCTGACCATTGGACTATTTCTTTAACTCTTTTTTCATTATTATTGTGTATAAATTGTGTATTGGTGTTTAGGAAATTGGACGCAGTATTACTAATTACTATTACTTCCAAATATTCAAATCACAAGCAATTGCAATGAAAACAGGAGGCAATATGGGATGAAATTAGTCTCAAATTTACTAACAAAGCATGCACAATTTTCCATAAACTTGATAAATGTTGCAAATGTATCTAACTATCCACAACCAAATGTCTGTCAACTTGTGCCTGTGAAATTCAAAATTGCATGAATGTGCAGCATTTTGTTCAAATAGGCAAGGCAAGGCAAGGCAAGTTTATTTATATAGCACATTTCATACACAATGGTAATTCAAAGTGCTTTACATAAAAGGAAGTAAAATAATCATAAAAAAATAATAATCACTTGCTCGTTCACTCGCATAAGCCTCGCCCACTCCTGACAGCAAAATGGATATATTTGTATGACTTTCTAACATTTACAGATGAAAAATATACTCACAACGTCTCAAATGCATTAAACAGCACAGATATATTCGCTGTTTACCATGGTGGTGTCACAGATTGGCCAGGCTCAGCCACCTCCCAATCACAGCGAACACCATCACCTGAATACTGATCACACGCACCTGTCACAACTTGGCAATCATCATCAACCACCCTTCATAAGCACACACCTCACGCCACTCCAGTGTCCGGTCTTGTTTCTACGGAGTGGACTCCCTCGCGATACAATCAGTGACATACATCGAAAGACCTACCTTCTTGATATACTTACCGCCTGTGTTCCATTCCCCAGTACGTTCCTGTCGTCAACTCCGTTCAAGCTCCGTGCACCCATCAGCGGAGGTGTGTGCAGTCCTCTGTCTCCTATTCCGCAAACTCCTGGAGGACCCATTACAGTGTTACTCTCCTCCTCTCCCTTAAGGATGGATATTCAGTGCTATTCTCACCTCCCCGAACCTCCTGCACTCATTGCTGTAAATAAACATTATTGCTATTTCTCTAATCCTCTGTGTGAGTCTCCTTCCGTAACAGGTGGATCGATTTGATCCATGATCGACATTAAGGACTTTAATGCCTGCTTTTCCTTGGGTCTCCGTAGTGTTGTAATACGTCATATTCACGCAGCACCAGTGATGACAGAACACGCTTGAGAAACAGTTTAGAAAGGAGAAATCAATCTACATATAAAATATTGGTCACTTTCTAAACAATAAAAGTATTAGCGCATCCACCAGTAATTATATAAATAAATTGTTTTTACCGATGCAAGCATGTTAGAAACGATGCATCACGATACAAATGCCAACTTGTATCCGATGCAGACTTTTTTAAATTGATGCATCTCATTGTTAACTTTTTTTGCAGATGCACCGAGCAAATCTGTGAATCTTCCCATCCCTAATCTGTATAAAATAAAGCCAAAATACCAATTACCAATAGCAGGTTTCCGGCTGACAGCCAAAAATTTATTTTGCCTATGTCACAATATGAGGTAAATCCGGCCCTGTACATGATACTGATTTTTGTTGCCAAATTGGTTTGGAACAGTTGTTGAATAAACAACTTAACTGAACTATTATGCCTATCTGTTTGACTGACAGTTGTATTGATCACTGAGAGAGAATTGACTTATGATGTTGGTTCAATATAATTTAATTTTTATTTTTTATTTTTATATAGCTTAGATGTAGTAAACTACTTTTACCATGTTGCTGTAGCTTAGCTTGCTACATTTCACCAGTGTTGGGCAAGCTACTTGGGAAATGTAGTGAGCTAAGTTAACAGTTACTCTTCATTAAATGAAGCTTCACTACACTAAAGCTACAGCCCTGTGAAATGTAGCAAGCTAAGCTACAGCAACATGGCAAAAGTAGTTTACTACATCTAAGCTATTAAAAAAATTATATAATAAAAAAAACTCTCAGTGATCAATAATTTTACTTTTATAATAGTAATATAATTTATAATAAACCTTTACAATAATTTGACTTTTTATTTTTTTACATGTCCTTATTGTACATTTGTATAGTCGTATTTTATATTTAATCTGTATCTATCTGTATTTTTATGCTCTGCTGTTAGTGTTATCTGTATGCACCAAGGGTCTGAGAGTAACGCAATTTTAATTCTCTGTATGTATGTGCTTGTACATGTGGAAAAATTGACAATCAAGCAGACTTTGACTTGATTTTGAATAAAACTGTCAGTCAAGCAGATAGACAGGCATAATAGTTCAGTTGGTTGTGGATAGTAAGATACATTTGCAACATTTATCAAGTTTATGGAAAATTGTGCATGCTTTGTTAGTAAATTTGAGACTAATTTCATCCCATATTGCCTCCTGTTTTCATTGCAATTGCTTGTGATTTGATTATTTGGAAGGAATGTTAGTAATACTGCGTCCAATTTCCTAAACACCCAATACACAATTTATACACAATAATAATGAAAAAAGAGTTAAAGAAATAGTCCAATGGTCAGGGTTATGCTTTACAAAAATAGGAGAAATGTGCCCTTTTGACTTACATGAACAAGATAAAAAGAGTAAAAACACTTTTTGTTTCATTTTAGTGTGGTTGTCTGGGCAGATATTGTTTGTGTAATATCAGCATGACTTGCTCAACCCTGTAACAAAGAGCTGAAATATACCATTGTGAAAGCTCTAGTTTGGCTTATGAACCTCAACCAGCCAAGTCCAGACTGTAAGGTCATTGTGGTCATGCGCACTGAACAGGCGGAGCGCAATAATTCTCGAGTCGAATATGCATTTTGCTAAAATATTTGTTGTTTGGACATTAAATGTGTCTTTTGTAGAATTTTAAACCTACATATAAGTGTATTTTTATGATAGCAGTAACTGTAAAGGGACTATTGTAATGGGTAAATAAAATGTAAGCTAATACAGTCCTAATTACTGAGCTCAGATGAGTTAATGTGTGTTTCTCATAGCAGTTAAAATGTACTTTTAAGTGATTTTAACATTTATTTTAGTGATTGTAATGCTTTAAAGAGCAATTTTAGATTGTAATGTTTTAATGTTCTGCTATCTGTTCTGCTAACTATAAAAGGTACAGCTGTCATAAAACCAGAGAGAAAGGCTGCATGGCTATAATAGTATGTGAGAGAGTCAGTGGTAATATCATTGCATTCCTATTGGTTGTTGGTTGTTGTTAGAGGAACTCAGCTTACCCTGACAGTTAGCCTGCCCTGGACCAGGTTAGTTTTCCAACATACGTTGCCACAGTGGCTGAGGTTGATCTATGTTAAATTTGCTTTATGGAACCAAATCATTTGACAATGAGTCAGACTAACTGAAATAAGCCTGGCCTATTTGGTAATCTTGTTTTATGAAACAGGCCTCGAGGCGTTAGAAGTCAGAAGACACATAAGTTAATTTATGATTTGCTGTCTGTCTGAAAAACAAAAGCGATCATATTTTTTCCATTGCATATCACGTCACATCGATAGCTGCTTCATATGTATCTTCAGTCTATCGTATCGTTGGCTATGCATCGAGATGTGTATCGCATCGGCCTCAATTATGGAGATGCACATCCCTAATACAGATACATTTATATAAATGTTAACACTTCACAATAAGGTTCATTAGTTAACATCAGTTAACTAGTGTAGTTAACATAAGGAACATGATTTTTACCAGGGGACCCCCTCAAAACACGGATAGTTTGGGATATTTTAGCAATTGGGAGGGTTTTGTTGTAAAAAAACCTGGCAACCCTTTTCGTCAAGCAGGTAACGTTATTATTGCTAACATAGCGACTTATCGAAAAATACATTGGCATCATCTGTATTAAAGAGAAAATAATCACTTCATCCAATGTTTAAGTGAATAAAATGACCTTGACAGTCTTACTGGAGTTCCACAACTATTGACTTTGTTCTCTCTCACCAGACTTGTGTGTGTGTAGGGGTTGTAAAAGAGGAAAGCAGGCATTTGGACCAAAGCACTGTGTGGTAAGGGAGGGGATATTCAAAATGTTTCTAAGCTTAAAATGCATTTTTGCCCCATCTGTGTTGTTTTACTACTTACACAATTATTTCAAGTATAAAACATTGTTATTTACAATACACAGACTGGTTTTTAATCATATATTTAGGGTGGACAACCCTCAGATGGGGCGTTCCTGTCCCCCTCATCAGGTAATTCGGCTGATGCCATAATCTTTTTCTATTTTATTGTTGGCTTCCTTGACAACTTCCTTGGCTCTTTACTTTTTTCAGCATTTTCTGAATAATCAAGCTTTGGTTCACTGTGACGTTTTGACTAGGCCTTCTGCTTGTTCAAAATCTATGCCCAGGAAATATTTCAACCTTCCCATGTCTTTCATTTGGAACCTTTCTGTGAGCATTCCCTTTACACTTTCCAGGACACTTTCACTGTTAGCTGCAATGATTAGGTTATCAACCCATACTATCAGGATTACTTTTTCATCATGCTTCTCCTTTGTATACACACAGTTATCAGCTTGGTTTTGTGTAAAACCATTCTCAGTCAAACATGTAATACGTAACACAGCATTACAGTTTCTACCTGATTGCTTAAGCCCTCTGGCTGTTTCATATAGATTTAGTGATCAATTGGTGCATGCAAATAGGCTGTCTCAACGTCCATCTGATGCAAGAGTAAATTTTCTTGTGCAGCCTTCTGCATAACCACTCTCACACTTGTCATATCAGCTGTGGGTGAGAATGTCTCATCATAGTCGGTCCCTAGTTTCTGACTGTAGCCTTTTGCAACGATTTTTTCAGATCCATCAATGTCACTTTTAAGTGTGTAGACCCATCTGCCCCAACTGGTTGTTTTCCTGGTGGCAACTGAGTGAGAGTGAAGGTCTTGTTTTCCTCCAGTGATCGCATCTCTTTGTCCATGGCATTCTTCCATTGCCTTGATTTGGTTGATGTTATGGCATCCTGGTAGGTTTGTGGTATATCGCATACAGCTCTATAACAAAAGTCTATGCATGTTTGCAGTTTGTCCTCCATATGCTCAATCTTAAAATCTTGTAGGTGAGCTGGCCTCATCCTAGTTCTTTTTGGGTTACAAAAAGCTTTTCCTGTCTGTGTGGGTTCAGCCTGTTCAGGCAAAGTCTCAGAAACACCACTTTGAAGGAGTCGGCTTGGTATGTTTTCATCAGCATTTTTCTCACTGCTAATGAATGATCTGAGGATTTTTATCCTTGTATTCTGTGTGTGTCTCAGGTGTTTGTGTTTCTCCTTCTTTGTTTGTCCTAGTTGTGAACTTCACCAACCTTTGCTTTTGGACCTCCTCTGTGTTAGGATAGTACACTAGATAAGCCGGAATGTTTCTGTTGTAGCCAATGAAATCACCCTGTTCGCATCTAGAGTCTAATTTGTCTTTCTCTTGTTTGTAAGCAAAACATATTGAACCAAATTTTTGCATTTTGGAAACATCTGGCTTTCTGCCTGTGAATAATTCATATGGCATTTTCTTTGTATATCTACTGTAGCACCTGTTTCTCACGTAAGCTAATGTTTGCATAGTGTAGTTCCATAACTTATCTGGCAACTCGCTTTCTATCAGTAAGCACCTGCTCATATCATAGAGTGTTCTCCAACCTCTCTCTGCTGTGTCATTCTGGTGAGGTGAATAAGGTGCAGACGGTTCATGTCCAATCCTAGTTTTTATTAACAGTGCTCGAAAGTCTCTACTCATAAATTCAGTGCCATTATCTGAACGGATGCACTTGACTTCTCCATAAGGTGCTGTGTCTGCTAAGAACTTTTCTGTGGCTTGTACTGTGTCTGCCTTAGACTTTAGAAAATACACTAACATAGTACCAGAGTAGTCATCTGTAAAATGCCCTTCTTTGCTCTGTGTTGGCATGGGGATGGCCAAGTCAGTGTGGATTAGTTCTAAGGGTTTATTTGCCTTTCTGTCTGGCTCCGTTTCTCGTCTGAGTGAATTTTCCCTGTGTACACACTTCACATAACTGATTTGGTCTGACTGTACTTCCTTTTATCTCCATGCCTCTAACTACACCTTGTAACTTTTGTACATCTTCATAGTTACAATAACCCAAAATTTCATGCCAACTTTGTAACTCATGTCAACACTCTCTTCAATAGTTGGCAAATAATACAAATGTCCAATTCATGAATGTCAAACCCGTCTTTAGTAACCATGTGACCGTTCCCTTTTTTGAAGGTGATTGTTGCTCCTACATTTGTTGCCCTTGCTACTGAGAAAATGTCATGTGGGTACGAAGGCATGTATAGTGCGTCCCGTAGCTGTTAGGGGTGTAAGAAAATATCGATACACGTGAGTATCACGATATTTTGTTTGGCGATACTGTATCGATTCTCAAAAACGGAATATCGATATTTAAAAAAGAAATCATACAAGATTCATGGCAGTTGTCTTTTTGAGTTTATATCCCGACCGCTAGAAAGCAGTCTTCATCTCTGAACTTAGACAGTGATTATGAAATACGAGCATTAGGGCACGCTACTAATGTTAGCGTTAATATAGTTCACCGCTAGTAATGGAGGATGAAAGAATTGTTCCAGTTCCCGTTTCAGTGTACAAAGCTGAAGTGTGGCGTCATTTGGGCTTTTAACGTCCACCGCGGGCGGGACTGTGGCACGGGGGTGCCGCCTCGGTTCCACCGCTTGCCGTGTCCTGTGTGAAAAGCCTTCGCATGGGGCGCATCGGCAGTAGGGTTGCCGCACGGCTGCAGCTTTCTCTAGTGATCTCTAGTTTGTGCAGTTGGGGTGGTGCTCGCATCGCGTTCTCGACGATTCCACGCGGAACATAAATACAAACTGAAAAACCTGTGAAATCCAAGTGGAAAGGTTCTGAGAATGTTTTACATCTGTATTTATTTTATTGTTTTAAAATTCTTTTGTTTTCTTTAGAAATCCTGCAAGCACGTTATTTTTCATTGATATTACGCAGATGGAATTATTTTGTTCAGATCAAAATGTTATGACGTTGTATGTTACATTTGTAAACTTAAAATGTGAACCTTTAAAGCAGGGTCTAAAATATATATGGTCTTTTTATAAAATACACATTATACATTTAACTAAAGGATCCTGCAAGCACTTAAATTGTTCCCCCTTGACTCGTACTGCACAAAAAGTGGTTCAATAATGTTGAATGTTACAGGGACTGATTATTGCAAATGCAGATCTCACTGTGTTCTGGTTAAATAATTTTT